TGGCTTATTGCCACTGATATAGCAGTCGGCCGCTATATGACCAACATGACTGCACGCGGAACAGAAAGCGGGGATCTTCTCGTAGATCACCCGCTGAGCAAAGGTCTCCGAACCCTGCTCAATCTCAATCTCGTGGATAGGCTCCACTCTAAGATCAATCTCGACACAGAACCGCGCCATATTAGCTCTGGACTGGAGAGCAGTCGGGGCATCAATGCGGACCGGTTTTCCGACACACTTAGCAAGTGTGGTGATAGAATCCTGGTCATACAGATGTGGTGGAAGGCCGGGGAGGCGGCACCACACGGGGACGACCGGCGTCTCCGTCTTCGGGTCGAACCCGGAAGTGTACTTGAATACCCTAGCTGGGCATCCACACACAGAAATAGAAGTCCTAAGCCATGCCTCATTATAATCTTCGGCGAGATTAAAAGAGACTAGAAGATGATTGAAGTTATACCACTTAAACGAGAACCTACCCTTAAAACCCAATTTTCCTAATCCAGCAGCTAGGTCTCGGGGGGGAGGGATAGCATAGGTGAACTTAAAGACCAGTGTGTTCGCTAACTTACCTGCGAGGGTGTCAGCTTCGGCCTGTGAGAATCGGACCTTCACTATGTTCCCCTCCGAGCGAATGATGGTCCCGCAAGCGTGGTCATAATCCCCGTCAAAGAGGAACTCCTTGGGTGTCGGCCGCGGGGTAATATTTCCGCCCGAAACGTCATCTCTCTTCCCCATAATAGCCTCTCGGAAAGAGAGCGGGCCAGTGGAAGTGCCCGGCAGAGATCCGGGTGCAGCGGGGTTTACCGTTGGGGGGCCCGTCGGCGGTGTCCCGTTCGGGGAGGGTCCGGACAAGTTGGCTGCGGACGTCTTGCTCGGTTTTTCAGCGACCACACCATCTTCTTATATATATAATACTGCCGGTTCAGATATTCCGGCATCAAAGTTGGCTATTCCGGCGACATAGGAGGCTATTCCGTCTAGTTGGACAGTCGGAGAATTTGATGTTGGCCGGGGGCCGAGAATTCCGGCCATGTGGCTCGATTCCAGGACACTCCTCTGTGGGATGCCAGCCGGCTGACGTCTTCCGGTGGCCGTGACAGCATCTGCGACGGCGACGGCGCCGGAGCCGGCGAGAGGCAGGTGATCAGCGTCTGAGGGTTGAAGGTCGGAGCCCACTTTTTGCTGGCAGTTGGCGATGTGAAGTTTGGGTTGAGAGGCATTGGATTGGGAAGTAACAGGTTGGGAGGAGGATGTGGGCTGGTCTGTATATGTTAGGCCCAAAAATGGAGAGATAGTGGGCTGATTATTGTGGGTTGCAGCTTGTTGTTGGAGTTGTTGAGTGGCGGAGGGTTGTTGGGGTGTGGGCTGGGTTACTTTGATGTTGTGGGTTGCGGATTGAAGTAGTGGCCCGTTAGTTTTTTTGGGCCTAATAGGGGAAGACCCAATAGAAGGGGCAGATTTGGATCTCGAGAAGGACCCAGATCTGGTATAGTGGCCACCGACGGGTCGCTGCTCAGCTGAGGGGATCCCTGTGATGCTGTTTTCGAGAGGCGAGATTGGGATGACCGGCGAGGGCGTGTCCAAAAGCACAGTGACGGCGCCGGCGCCGTCGTGAGGCAGGTGGTCGACGGCTGCTGCCGGGTGGACGACGTCAGCAGGTTGGATGTTGCGGGTGATGGGATGGGAGCTGATTTGGTTGGGTGCAGGTTGAGAGGGTTGGTTTGGTCGCGGGCTGGGTTTGGGAGGATTGGGCCCAGCTGAAATGCCAGTAATGGGCCTGGGAAGTTTGATGAGGGAATTGGATCCAGATCCGATAGCTGAGGGAATTGAGATTAATCTCGTGGAGGGTTGAGATCGAAGCCGCGTCATCGGGGAGCTGAGGGGAAGGATTCCCTGTGACGCCGTTTGCAGCAACTGTGTTAGGGTTGACCGATGGGAGAGCTTCCGACGGTAAGGACCCAAACGTCACCGGACACCGTCTTCCATTCGGTCGGAGATTAAGGACCGCCATTCCGGCGACGGGGCGACACTGGATTTTGGTGACCTGCGGAGTTATTTCTCCCTCCTCTAAATTTGAGCTCGGCGTTAGGAGTTTTTGAAGGGCTTTTTTCACTTCCATTGAAATCAAAGAAGCAAGGTCGGGGTTGACTACCGGTGATGTAGGTTGAGGAGGAGGAGATCGGAGGGAAGATTGCTCCTATTGTGTGGGCTGAATTCGCAGAAATGGGGTTGCAGGAGGAATCGGGATCGGGGCCATGAACTGGGACCGGATAAGAGGGAGGTAGGTGAAGGGAGGTCAGGCGGCTTGCCGCCAGAGGTGGCGGAGGTGGCGGCCCGCCGGCGAACAGCTATGAGTCGGAAATTTGGACTGAGAAATGGTGGGGAAATGGGGAAGATGGGTTTGTAGAGAGAGAAAGTTAGAGAGAAGGGAGAGCATTTCTCGCTGCTAGGTTAGTTGTCTTTTGTTGCTAGGTTATTTCTTTCTTGCTGCTAGGTTAATTGTCTTTTGTTGCTAGGTTATTTCTTTCTTGCTACTAGGTTAGTTGTGTTTTGTTGCTAGGTAAGTTGTGTTTTGTTGCTAGGTTAGTTGTCTTTGTCTTTTGTTGCTAGGCTATTGCTTTCTTTCTGCTAGGTTAGTTGTGTTTTGTTGCTAGGTTAGTTGTCTTTTGTTGCTAGGTTTTTTATTTTTATTTTTTTTTTAAAAAAAAACAATGCCCCGGAAGGGCGGGGGATTGGGCAGGATCCCCAACCTGTACATAGATTAAGACCCAAAAACTGGGGCCCAAAGTGTCAACATAGTCTCACAATCAAAACAGAAACGAAAAGCAAAAATGAAAATAGTACAAGATCTGTCATCGGGCTAACAGGTGCCCGGAATAAATGGATGGTCTAAGTAGAACAAAACCAGAAAATCTAATCTACTGGAATCGAAACGATGGATATCCCAGCTAATCCATCCGAACTAGCGTGCGGAGGCGGAGTGGAGCAGTGTAGGTCTGATATGTGTGCGTGTCTGGCATGGTAGCGCCAAGGCTGGGAAGGTAATCACCAGGTCTGTTCCCCTCACGAAAGATGTGTGTGATCCTGTAATGGACAGACCGAAGTAGATCTCTAATGCGCATAAGCGGATGGTGAATCTTCCACGATCCCTGATGACCCGATGCCAGGAGGGTGACGACAGCCGCAGCGTCCAGCTCAATCCAAATATGACTAGAGAGGTCGGCAGCAATCCGAAGGCCAATCTGTAATGCCTGAATCTCTGCATCGTAGCTCGAGGAGGCCTGAAGGGATGTGTGGAAGGCGGTGATAAGAGCTCCATTATGGTCCCGGATTAAGCCTCCTTCTCTGGCAGTACCACTATGGCGATCGAAAGATCCATCGGTGTTCAGCTTGACCCAAGGAGAGTCGGGTCGAAGCCAAACAATAGGTCTGGGCCGAGGGGACCGAACAGGCAGAGGGGGAGCCACTCTGTAGCGATGTGGTGGCGTGCAGCCTGTCCAGTCACATGCAGAAAGCCTGCCCAATGCTGTGAGGAGTGAAATGTGTCTCTCCACCTGCAAAACAATATGAGAAAGCAAGAAAGTAATATCCCTATGCTTCGCACTATTCCTTTCCGTCCAGGTGAACCAAAGGATCAGACAAGGAACGAGGAAGCTCACGTGTCTAAAGTGTGTGCTCTGTGAGAAAAAACTCAGGAGCTCAAAAAAACTGTCTGTGGAGGGTAGGGATATATGAGTCCAAGTAGCAAAATGCTCCCACACTCTCCTCACAATCTCACTCTCTAGAAAAAGGTGGGTAAAGGTCTCGGTCTCATGATGCCCGGTCTCAGAACAACACACACATCGGGAGGGGAAAGAGATCCCCCTCGCATGAAACACAGTGTCCACGGGTATCCGGCGCAAGAGGAGGCGCCAAAGGAAAACAGATATGGTAGGGGTGAAAAGGTCGCTCCAGATGGCTCCGAAGAGAAGATTCGGCCGATCTCTCAGCCTGATCTGCTCCCAAGCCGAGGTAGTAGAAAACACACCCGATGATGTAAGTCTCCACCTCATACCATCCGAACCGTCCCCCGAGATGGGTATCTGCTGGATCCTATCTAATAACTGCTCACTAAAACCCGCCCCGGAGCCCAACTCTCTATCAAGCTTCCCCCTATCCCATGACCCGTCCGTCCAAAGGTCGCGCACAAGTAGGTAGGGGGAATGCGACACCTGCCTATCTCTAGACAACGGCCTATCACCTAACCACCACTCATCCCAGAAACTAACCTCGCCATCCCCCAAAACCCAAAAAATGTGATCCTGGGCACGCCTACCAACCCTAGTAAGACGCCGCCACTGTCTGCTATCATGCGCAACCGCCGTCACCCAACAAGGGTGGTTGGCGCGTCTAGAGCAGTACTTGCCGCGAAGGTACTGGGCCCAAAGCGACTTTCCTTCCCTGAAGCGCCACCACAACTTGTATGAGAAGGCAGTAACAATATCCCTAAGGCGACGGATGCCAAGGCCACCCTCAGGGAGAGGGCGGCAGATAGAGTCCCAACTCACCCAGTGGGTACTTCTCCCCCTCCCCGAACCATCCTCGTAACCCCAGAAATAACGAGCCATGATCTGGTCAATCTCGTCAAGGGTGGACCTAGGGGGGTCGAGGACCATAAGTAAATGAAGCGGAAGGGAGCTAAGGGTGCTCTTGATCAGAGCAAGCCGACCACCAAACGAAATATGTCTATGCGACCAACCAGAAATCCTATCGATAATCCTCTGTCTGATGCCCGCAAAGAGCGCTCTCGTGAGGTTGCCCTTATATAAAGGGGCACCAAGGTAGGTAATGGGAAGGTCGCCGTGCGCAAAGCCAGTGATCTCGTGGACTCGCTGAGCCCACCTGTCTGCGATGGAGGAGGAAAGGGTGAAGGTGCTCTTCTGCACACTGATCAGCTGGCCAGTAACCAAGCTATAATGCTCCAGAAGGTGCATAAGCTCGATCAGCCCATCATCATCCGCACGAGTGAAGATGATGATGTCATCCACATAAGAAAGGTGCGAGATGGGGGACCATAGCCACGGGTGCTATATGTCATCTGAGGATAGTCGCGGATAAAGCCGTCGAGGCAGCGAGAGAGGTAGTCCGCCGCAAGAACCAAAAGGGATGGGGAAAGGGGGTCTCCCTGTCTAAGGCCTCTAGATGCGGGAAAAAAATCTGTGGGGCTGCCATTAACCAAGACCGAGAACGTGCAATGCTCCACACACGCCTCTACAAAGCCGATCCAACGCTCCGGGAATCCCATCCTAGCCAGTGCCTCCCTAAGAAACGGCGACTCCACTCTATCATACGCCTTAGCCATGTCTAGCTTCAGCGCAATGTTCGGTGCCCGCTTCCAGTCTGCATGGGAGATATCGTGGATCATCTTCTGAGCCAAAAGTATGTTATCACTAATGACCCGATCCTTGACGAAGCCACTCTGGTTCGGAGAGATGAGAGAGGGGAGAATAGAGGAAAGACGGCTGTTAAGAATCTTCGAAATAAGCTTATTTGTCACGTTACACAGGCTGATGTGCCTGTAGTCGGACCAAGAACTCGGATTGGGTCTTTTGGGAATCAAGACGACAGAGGTAGCCGTGAAGGAATCCGGCATCCGGTGACCGGTGAAGAAATCCAATACCGCCTCCTCAACATCAGGCTTGACTATATCCCAGCAGACCTGATAGAAGAGGGAAGAGAACCCATCGGGGCCAGAAACGCTGTTGGGATCAATCCCAAAAACAGCATCCCTAACCTCCTCCCTGCTCGGAAGCTCACAGAGGTCGACAAGGTCGACCGAAGGAGGGATGGCAGGGAAAAGAGAGACGGTCAGGGTAAGGAGGGACCATCTGTCAGAGGTGAAGAGGGTCTGGAAGTGAGCAACAGCCGACTCCCGAATCTGAGACTCCTGGGTCAGGGATGACCCATCTGCCTCAATACTATGGATGTACGACTTAGCACGCTTCTGTCTAACAAAGCCCTGGAAGAACCTAGTGTTCCGCTCGCCCTCTGCCACCCAGCGAACGGCCGCCTTCTGCTTCCAGAAATCCTCCTCCATAAGGAGTCGGAGCTGGTACTTGGCGTGGCAGCGGTGCATCGCAGTCCTATTCTCCGGAGTGGGATCCAGGTCATAGGCCTTCTCAGCCTCCGCGTGCGCACTCTGAGCCACAGAAAGGCGCTGATGGAGGTTTCCAAAAACATCCCAGTTCCAATGTCTCAACCTACGCCGTAATCTGCCGAGCTTAGCTTCGAGATTGCGCATCCCAAAGAGCCCAGTCGGTTGGAGCCAGGAATCCCTGACAGTGTCATGGAAAGAGTGGTGGCGAACCCACATGTTCTGGAACCTAAAGGAAGCGCGGCAGGGAGTGCTCGAGAAGCGACACCTAATGAGGAGTGGTGAATGGTCAGACCCAATTCGAGTGAGATGCGTGACGGTCGTGATCGCAAACACTTTCGACCACGCTTCAGAGACCAAAGCACGATCGAGCCTCTCTCTGAGGTCGTCCCTAACCCACGTGAAGGGCTCACCCTCACATCCAGCATCTATCAACTCACAGTCCGCCACAGTCTGAGCAAAGTCCCACATCTCCCGGGACCGGTCCGTGCGGCCACCCACACGCTCATCGGGGTGCAGAAAGATGTTGAAATCACCACTAACCATCCATAGCAATCCCTCCATACTCTCAGCAATCTCACGCAGGGTGTCCCACAGATCGTGTCTCCCGACTCTATTACACTTGGCGTAAACCAAAGTGTGAAATATGGGCTCAGGGAGATGGACAGCAGAAAGCTCGACATGAAGCACCTGATCGGTGTCCCGGAGGACCCGATAAGTGTAGTCACGAGAGTGGAAGAAGAAGATCTTATGAGAAATGTTACCCACGCCCGAATGAAAACCAAGACGACGTGAGAAATAGTCAAAGTCAGGGGTGTGAATTATCGGCTCAATAAAGCCGACAAAATCCAATCTATGATCACGAATGAGAGAGCGAAGGTGAGCGAGAGTGGCCCTATTAGCCAGTCCCCGTCCATTTCAGGTAATGGACGTGATAGACATATTAGCAATCAGAAGAGCCACCGGACGGGGTCCGCTTGTGGCAAGGCTGAGTCAGACCACCTGAGGGAGGGGGTAGGTGGCGAGAGGATCGACGAAGAACCGGAGAGACGGTCCGCCTCGTCATGCGCGGTGTGGGTATGGTATTCGAGGGGGAACGCCCTCGGAAAGCGCTCGTGGCCTGCGAATCGTCAGGCTGAGTAGTCTGACCAAGACTGACACTAGGTGCCTGCCCCATGTCCGGGCATGCCTCCTGTCTGTCATGGTGCACGAAAGCACTGGAGGCAAAACTCTCGCACGAGACGTCGTGCTGAGCGCGGTTAAGACCGCATGCCTGCTCAGAGAGGGTAGGGGAAGAGACTCCATCCGGCAGAGCACTCGGGTGCTCAACGTCAGAGTGTGGCTGGAGAGCTATAGGCTCAGTCGAAATCTCAATCTGCGCAGAGGGGAGGTGAGCCGGCAATTCCCCTTTCGAGGAAGCGGTGGCAGGAGCCGTCCTCATCTCCAGAGAGGAAGTCTTGGTATGTGGGAGGACAGGCAAAGGGACAATATCACGAATGCTGTCATGAGATAAATGGGTGGTCGGGCCAGTGAGCGAAGTGGTAGGCTGCTCTAGATCATCTACTAGGAGGTCGTCGTCCTCTAAAAAGCCAAGATCCGAGAGACCGTGTGGGTCCCTAGAGGAAGGCTCAGCTCATCCTTTGACTCAGAGGAGATGGGTGCAAAGAACGAGTGTTTGGCCTTGAAGGCCGACTGAAGTGTCTCTCTGGGAATAAAGCCCGTAGCCTTGGCCTTGGGCCCAACTATGATCAATCGGTCTGACTGGTCGGGATGAGCATCCTTCCCAGTTTGGGCAGTGGCTTCCATCTTCGCCTTGCCCTTATCCGTGGCCCCCTTTGGGGAACCGAGTGTCTGGAGAGGGCCTTTGCCCTTTCCCTTCGGTTCCCTCCGGCTGTTGGAGGGTCCCGGCTGGGCCGTACGACGGCGCTGAGGCGGAGCGGGTCGTGGCTTATTGCCACTGATATAGCAGTCGGCCGCTATATGACCAACATGACTGCACGCGGAACAGAAAGCGGGGATCTTCTCGTAGATCACCCGCTGAGCAAAGGTCTCCGAACCCTGCTCAATCTCAATCTCGTGGATAGGCTCCACTCTAAGATCAATCTCGACACAGAACCGCGCCATATTAGCTCTGGACTGGAGAGCAGTCGGGGCATCAATGCGGACCGGTTTTCCGACACACTTAGCAAGTGTGGTGATGGAATCCTGGTCATACAGATGTGGTGGAAGGCCGGGGAGGCGGCACCACACGGGGACGACCGGCGTCTCCGTCTTCGGGTTGAACCCGGAAGTGTACTTGAATACCCTAGCTGGGCATCCACACACAGAACTAGAAGTCCTAAGCCATGCCTCATTATAATCTTCGGCGAGATTAAAAGAGACTAGAAGATGATTGAAGTTATACCACTTAAACGAGAACCTACCCTTAAAACCCAATTTTCCTAATCCAGCAGCTAGGTCTCGGGGAGGAGGGATAGCATAGGTGAACTTAAAGACCAGTGTGTTCGCTAACTTACCTGCGAGGGTGTCAGCTTCGGCCTGTGAGAATCGGACCTTCACTCTGTTCCCCTCCGAGCGAATGATGGTCCCGCAAGCGTGGTCATAATCCCCGTCAAAGAGGAACTCCTTGGGTGTCGGCCGCGGGGTAATCTTTCCGCCCGAAACGTCATCTCTCTTCCCTATAATAGCCTCTCGGAAAGAGAGCGGGCCAGTGGAAGTGCCCGGCAGAGATCCGGGTGCAGCGGGGTTTACCGTTGGGGGGCCCGTCGGCGGTGTCCCGTTCGGGGAGGGTCCGGACAAGTTGGCTGCGGACGTCTTGCTCGGTTTTTCAGCGACCACACCATCTTCTTGTATATATAATACTGCCGGTTCAGATATTCCGGCATCAAAGTTGGCTATTCCGGCGACATAGGAGGCTATTCCGTCTGGTTGGACAGTCGGAGAATTTGATGTTGGCCGGGGGCCGAGAATTCCGGCCATGTGGCTCGATTCCAGGACACTCCTCTGTGGGATGCCAGCCGGCTGACGTCTTCCGGTGGCCGTGACAGCGTCTGCGCCGGCGCCGGAGCCGGCGAGAGGCAGGTGATCAGCGTCTGAGGGTTGAAGGTCGGAGCCCACTTTTTGCTAGCAGTTGGCGATGTGAAGTTTGGGTTGAGAGGCATTGGATTGGGAAGTAACAGGTTGGGAGGAGGATGTGGGCTGGTCTGTATATGTTAGGCCCAAAAATGGAGAGATAGTGGGCTGATTATTGTGGGTTGCAGCTTGCTGTTGGAGTTGTTGAGTGGCGGAGGGTTGTTGGGGTGTGGGCTGGGTTACTTTGATGTTGTGGGCTGCGGATTGAAGTAGTGGCCCGTTAGTTTTTTTGGGCCTAATAGGGGAAGACCCAATAGAAGGGGCAGATTTGGATCTCGAGAAGGACCCAGATCTGGTATAGTGGCCACTGACGGGTCGCTGCTCAGCTGAGGGGATCCCTGTGACGCTGTTTTCGAGAGGCGAGATTGGGATGACCGGCGAGGGCGTGTCCAAAAGCACAGTGACGGCGCCGGCGCCGTCGTGAGGCAGGTGGTCGACGGCTGCTGTCGGGTGGACGACGTCAGCAGGTTGGATGTTGCGGGTGACGGGATGGGAGCTGATTTGGTTGGGTACGGGTTGAGAGGGTTGGTTTGGTCGCGGGCTGGGTTTGGGAGGATTGGGCCCAGCTGAAATGCCAGTAATGGGCCTGGGAAGTTTGATGAGGGAATTGGATCCAGATCCGATAGCTGAGGGAATTGAGATTAATCTCGTGGAGGGTTGAGATCGAAGCCGCGTAATCGGGGAGCTGAGGGGAAGGATTCCCTGTGACGCCGTCTGCAGCAACTGTGTTAGGGTTGACCGATGGGAGAGCTTTCGACGGTAAGGACCCAAACGTCACCGGACACCGTCTTTCATTCGGTCGGAGATTAAGGACCGCCATTCCGACGACGGGGCGACACTGGATTTTGGTGACCTGCGGAGGTATTTCTCCCTCCTCTAAATTTGAGCTCGGCGTTAGGAGTTTTTGAAGGGCTTTCGTCACTTCCATTGAAATCAAAGAAGCAAGGTCGGGGTTGACTACCGGTGATGTAGGTTGAGGAGGAGGAGATCGGAGGGAAGATTGCTCCAATTGTGTGGGCTGAATTCGCAGAAATGGGGTTGCAGGAGGAATCGGGATCGGGGCCATGAACTGGGACCGGATAAGAGGGAGGTAGGTGAAGGGAGGTCAGGCGGCTTGCCGCCAGAGGTGGCGGCGGTGGCGGCCCGCCGGCGAACAGCTATGAGTCGGAAATTTGGACTGAGAAATGGTGGGGAAATGGGGAAGATGGGTTTGTAGAGAGAGAAAGTTAGAGAGAAGGGAGAGCATTTCTCGCTGCTAGGTTAGTTGTCTTTTGTTGCTAGGTTATTTCTTTCTTGCTGCTAGGTTAATTGTCTTTTGTTGCTAGGTTATTTCTTTCTTACTGCTAGGCTAGTTGTTTGATGCTGCTAGGTTAGTTGTCTTAAGTTGCTAGATTTTTTTTTTTAAAACAACAACGCCCCGGAAGGGCGGGGGATTGGGCTGGATCCCCAACCTGTGCATAGATCAGGGCCCCAAAAACGGGAGCCCAAAATGTCAACGAACCAGATACAGAGGTCTACATAGTCTGAAAATCAAAAACAAAAACAGGAAAAACAAAAAAGAAAAAAACCGAAAAATGAAAAAGAAACAAAAAACTACATAATAAAGTCGATCTTCGGGCTAACAGATGCCCGAGATAAGTCTATACTAATGAAAATAGAAATCCTATACTAGTGAAAGCGGAACGCTGGGTATCCAAGCTGGTCCATCCGTACAAGAGTGCGAAGGCGGAGTGGAGCAGTGTCGGTCTGGAATGTATGTGTGCCTGGTATGGTGGCGCCAAGGCTGGCCAGGTAATCAGCCGGTCTGTTCCCCTCACGGAAAATGTGCGTGATCCTGTGATGGACTGACTGAAGTAGATCTCTAATGCGCAGAAGCGGGTGCTGAATCTGCCACGAGCCCTGATGGCCCGAAGTCAGGAGGGTGGCGACAGCCGCAGCATCCAGCTCGATCCATATATGACTAGAGATGTGGGCAGCTATCTGAAGGCCAATCTGTAGTGCCTGAATCTCTGCGTCGTAGCTCGAGGAGGCCTGAATGGACGCGTGAAAGGCGGTGATGAGGGCGCCGCTATGGTCCCGAATCAAGCCTCCTCCTCCGGCAACTCCAGTGTGGCGATCGAAGGAGCCATCAGTGTTCAGCTTGACCCACGGAGAGTCAGGTCGAAGCCAAACAACAGCTCTGGCCCGAGGAGTCCGAACAGGCGGTGGTGGGGCCACCATGTAGCGCTGTGGTGGCGTGCAGCCTGTCCAGTCTCGGGCCGTGAGCCTGCCCAATGAGATGAGGAGTGAAATGTGTCTCTCAACCTGCAAAACAATGTGAGAAAACATAAAAGTAATATCCCTATGCTTCGCACTATTCCTTTCTGTCCAGGTGAACCAAAGGATCAGACAAGGAATGAGGAAGCCCACGTGTCTAAGGTGTGTGCTCTGTGAGAAAAAACTCAGGAGCTCAAAAAAACTGTATGTGGTGGGTAGGGATATATGAGTCCAAGTGGCAAAATGCTCCCACACTCTCCTCACAATCTCACTCTCTAGAAAAAGGTGGGTAAAGGTCTCAGTCTCATGGCGTCCAGTCTCAGAACAACACACACACCGAGAGGGGAAGGAGATCCCCCTCGCGTGTAGCACAGTATCGACGGGTATCCGGCGCAAGAGAAGGCGCCAAAGGAATACCGAAATAGTAGGCGTAAAAAGGTCACTCCAGATAGCCCCGAAGAGGAGATTAGGCCGATCCCTCAGCCTTATCTGCTCCCAAGCCGAGGTAGTAGAAAACACACCTGATGATGTAAGTCTCCACCTCATGCTATCTGAACCGTCCCCCGAGATAGGGATCTGCTGGATCTGATCTAATAACTGCTCGCTAAAACCCGCACCAGCCCCCAACTCCCTATCAAGCTTCCCCCTATCCCACGACCCGTCCGTCCAGAGGTCGCTCACGAGCAGGTAGGGGGAATGCGACACCTGCCTATCCCTAGACAACGGCCTATCACCTACCCACCACTCATCCCAAACACTGACATCGCCCCCGCCCAAAACCCAAAAGATGTGATCCTGGGCTCGCCTCCCGACCCTAGTGAGGCGCCGCCACTGTCTGCTATCATGATCAACAGCCGTGACCCAACAAGGGTGGTTGGCACGTCTAGGGCAGTACTTGCCGCGAAGGTACTGAGCCCAAAGCGACTTTCCTTCCCTGAAGCGCCACCACAGCTTGTATGAGAAAGCTGTAACAATGTCCCTAAGGCGGCGGATGCCAAGGCCACCCTCTGGGAGGGGGCGGCAGATAGAGTCCCAACTCACCCAGTGAGTACGTCTCCCCCTCCCAGACCCGTCCTCATAACCCCAGAAATAACGAGCCATAATCTGGTCAAGCTCGTCAAGAGTAGACCTAGGGGGGTCGAGGACCATAAGCAAGTGAATCGGAAGAGAGCTAAGAGTGCTCTTGATCAGCGCTAGCCGACCACCGAAAGAAAGATATCTATGCGACCAACCAGAGATCCTGTCGATCATCCTCTGTCTGACGCCCGCAAAGAGCGCTCTCGTGAGGTTGCCCTTATATAAAGGGACCCCGAGGTAGGTAATGGGAAGGTCGCCACGCGCAAAGCCAGTAATGTCGTGGACCCGCTGAGCCCACCTGTCCACGGTGGCAGATGAAAGGATGAAGGTGCTCTTCTGCACACTGACCAGCTGACCGGTGACCAAGCCATAGTGCTCCAAAAGGCGCATAAGCTCGACCAGTCCATCATCATCCGCCCGGGTGAAGATAATGATGTCATCCGCGTAAGAGAGGTGAGAGACGGTAGGACCATAGCCACAGGTGCTATAGGTCATATGGGGAGAGTCGCGGATGAAGCCGTCAAGGCAGCGAGAGAGGTAGTCCGCCGCAAGAACGAAGAGGGAAGGGGAAAGGGGGTCGCCCTGTCTAAGGCCTCTAGAGGAGGGAAAGAAATCGGTGGGGCTGCCATTAATCAGGACCGAGAACGTGCAATGCTCCACACACGCCTCCACAAAGCTGATCCAACGCTCAGGGAATCCCATCCTAGCCAACGCCTCCCTAAGAAACGGCCACTCAACCCTATCATACGCCTTAGCCATGTCTAGCTTCAGCGCGATATTCGGAGCCCGCTTCCAGTCCGCTCGGGAGATGTCGTGGATCATCTCCTGGGCCAGAAGGATGTTATCACTAATGACCCGATCCTTGACGAATCCACTCTGGTTCGGAGAGATGAGAGAGGGGAGAAGAGGGGAAAGACGGCCGTTAAGAATCTTCGAAATGAGCTTGTTGGTCACGTTACACAGACTGATGGGCCTGTAATCGGACCAAGAGCTCGGGTTGGGTCGTTTGGGGATCAAGACGACAGAGGTAGACGTGAAGGAATCCGGCATCCGGTGGCCGGAGAAAAAATCCAACATCGCCTCCTGGACGTCAGTCTCGACAATATCCCAGCAGACCTGATAGAAGAGGGAGGAGAAACCATCCGGGCCAGAAACGCTGTTGGGATCAATCCCGAATACAGCATCCCTAACCTCCTCTCTGCTCGGGAGCTCACAGAGGCCAATGAGATCGACCGAAGGAGGGATGGTGGGGAAAAAAGAAACGTTCGGGGCCGCGAGGGACCCTCTGTCAGAGGTGAAGAGGGTCTGGAAGTGAGCAACAGCCGACTCCCGGATCTGAGCCTCCTGGGTCAAGGATGACCCATCAGCCTCGATACTATGGATGTACGACTTAGCACGCTTCTGCCTAACGTATCCCTGGAAGAACCTAGTATTCCGTTCGCCCTCGGCCACCCAGCGAACGGCCGCCTTCTGCTTCCAGAAGTCCTCCTCCATAAGGAGTCGGAGCTGGTACTCGGCGTGACAGCGGTGCATGGCGGTCCTATTCTCCGGAGTGGGATCCAGGTCATAGGCCCGCTCAGCCGACGCCTGCGCACTCTGAGCTGCAGTAAGGCGGTGATGAAGGTTTCCAAAAACATCCCAGTTCCACTGTCTCAACCGATGCCGCAGTCTGCCGAGCTTCGCCTCGAGATTGCGCATCCCGAAGAGCCCAGTTGGCTGAAGCCAGGAATCCCTGACAGTGTCATGGAAGGAATGGTGGCGAACCCACATGTTTTGGAACCTAAAGGAAGCGCGGCGAGGAGTGCTCGAAAAACAACATCTAATGAGGAGGGGTGAATGGTCGGACCCAAATCGAGTGAGGTGCGTGACGGTCGTGACCGCAAACACCTTCGACCACGCTTCAGAAATCAAAGCACGGTCGAGCCTCTCCTTGAGGTCGTCCCTAACCCACGTGAAGGGCTCACCCTCGCATCCAGCATCAAGCAACTCACAGTCCGCCACAGTCTGAGCAAAATCCCACATCTCTCGTGATCTGTCCGTGCGGCCACCCACGCGCTCATCGGGGTGCAGAAAGACGTTGAAATCGCCACTAACCATCCATGGCAATCCCTCCATACTCTCGGCAATCTCACGCAGGGTGTCCCAGAGATCATATCGCCCGACCCTAGTACACTTGGCATAGACCAAGGTGTGATAGATGGGCTCCGGGAGGTGGGCAGCGGAGAGCTCAACGTGAAGCACCTGATCGGTGTCACGGAGGACCCGACAAGTGTAATCACGCGAGTGAAAGAAGAAGATCTTATGCGACATATTACCGACGCCCGAGTGGAAACCAAGGCGACGTGAGTAGTAGTCAAGCGAAGGGTTATGAATCATTGGCTCAATGAAGCCAACAAAATCGAGTCTGTGGTCACGAATCAGAGAATGGAGGTGAGAGAGGGTAGTCCTGTTCGCCAGGCCACGGCCATTCCAAGTAATGGACGTGACTGACATTTCAACTGTCGCGAGAGCCACTGGACAAAGTCCGCCTGTGGCGAGGCTGAGTCGCGCTGCGTAAAGCAGGGCGACGTCGAAATGATCCAATAGCAGGGGAGGCAGTCTCGCTGCTAGGTTAGTTGTCTTTTGTTGCTAGGTTATTTCTTTCTTGCTGCTAGGTTAATTGTCTTTTGTTGCTAGGTTATTTCTTTCTTGCTGCTAGGTTAGTTGTGTTTTGTTGCTAGGTTAGTTGTGTTTTGTTGCTAGGTTAGTTGTCTTTGTCTTTTGTTGCTAGGTTATTGCTTTCTTTCTGCTAGGTTAGTTGTGTTTTGTTGCTAGGTTAGTTGTCTTTTGTTGCTAGGTTTTTTATTTTTATTTTTTTTTTAAAAAAAAAACAACGCCCCGGAAAGGCGGGGGATTGGGCAGGATCCCCAACCTGTACATAGATTAAGACCCGAAAACTGGGGCCCAAAGTGTCAACATAGTCTCACAATCAAAACAGAAACGAAAAGCGAAAATGAAAATAGTACAAGATCTGTCATCGGGCTAACAGGTGCCCGGAATAAATGGATGGTCTAAGTAGAACAAAACCAGAAAATCTAATCTACTGGAATCGAAACGATGGATATCCCAGCTAATCCATCCGAACTAGCGTGCGGAGGCGGAGTGGAGCAGTGTAGGTCTGATATGTGTGCGTGTCTGGCATGGTAGCGCCAAGGCTGGCAAGGTAATCAGCAGTTCCGTTCCCCTCACGAAAGATGTGTGTGATCCTGTAATGGACAGACCGAAGTAGATCTCTAATGCGCATAAGCAGATGCTGAATCTTCCACGATCCCTGATGACCCGATGCCAGGAGGGTGACGACAGCCGCAGCGTCCAGCTCAATCCAAATATGACTAGAGAGGTCGGCAGCAATCCGAAGGCCAATCTGTAATGCCTGAATCTCTGCATCGTAGCTCGAGGAGGCCTGAAGGGATGTGTGGAAGGCGGTGATAAGAGCTCCATTATGGTCCCGGATTAAGCCTCCTCCTCCGGCAGTACCACTATGGCGATCGAAAGATCCATCGGTGTTCAGCTTGACCCAAGGAGAGTCGGGTCGAAGCCAAACAATAGGTCTGGGCTGAGGGGACCGAACAGGCAGAGGGGGAGCCACTCTGTAGCGATGTGGTGGCGTGCAGCCTGTCCAGTCACATGCAGAAAGCCTGCCCAATGCTGTGAGGAGTGAAATGTGTCTCTCCACCTGCAAAACAATGTGAGAAAGCAAGAAAGTAATATCCCTATGCTTCGCACTATTCCTTTCCGTCCAGGTGAACCAAAGGATCAGACAAGGAACGAGGAAGCTCACGTGTCTAAAGTGTGTGCTCTGTGAGAAAAAACTCAGGAGCTCAAAAAAACTGTCTGTGGAGGGTAGGGATATATGAGTCCAAGTAGCAAAATGCTCCCACACTCTCCTCACAATCTCACTCTCTAGAAAAAGGTGGGTAAAGGTCTCGGTCTCATGATGCCCGGTCTCAGAACAACACACACATCGCGAGGGGAAAGAGATCCCCCTCGCATGTAACACAGTGTCCACGGGTATCCGGCGCAAGAGGAGGCGCCAAAGGAAAACAGATATGGTAGGGGTGAAAAGGTCGCTCCAGATGGCTCCGAAGAGAAGATTCGGCCGATCTCTCAGCCTGATCTGCTCCCAAGCCGAGGTAGTAGAAAACACACCCGATGATGTAAGTCTCCACCTCATACCATCCGAACCGTCCCCCGAGATGGGTGTCTGCTGGATCCTATCTAATAACTGCTCACTAAAACCCGCCCCGGAGCCCAACTCTCTATCAAGCTTCCCTATCCCATGACCCGTCCGTCCAAAGGTCGCGCACAAGTAGGTAGGGGGAATGCTACACCTGCCTATCTCTAGACAACGGCCTATCACCTAACCACCACTCATCCCAGAAACTAACCTCACCGTCCCCCAAAACCCAAAAAATGTGATCCTGGGCACGCCTACCGACCCTAGTAAGACGCCGCCACTGTCTGCTATCATGCGCAACCGCCGTCACCCAACAAGGGTGGTTGACGCGTCTAGAGCAGTACTTGCCGCGAAGGTACTGGGCCCAAAGCGACTTTCCTTCTCTGAAGCGCCACCACAACTTATATGAGAAGGCAGTAACAATATTCCTAAGGCGACGGATGCCAAGGCCACCCTCAGAGAGAGGGCGGCAGATAGAGTCCCAACTCACCCAGTGGGTACTTCTCCCCCTCCCCGAACCATCCTCGTAACCCCAGAAATAACGAGCCATGATCTGGTCAATCTCGTCAAGGGTGGACCTAGGGGGGTCGAGGACCATAAGTAAATGAAGCGGAAGGGAGGTAAGGGTGCTCTTGATCAGAGCAAGCCGACCACCGAACGAAAGATGTCTATGCGACCAACCAGAAATCCTATCGATAATCCTCTGTCTGATGCCCGCAAAGAGCGCTCTCGTGAGGTTGCCCTTATATAAAGGGGCACCAAGGTAGGTAATGGGAAGGTCGCCGTGCGCAAAGCCAGTGATCTCGTGGACTCGCTGAGCCCACCTGTCTGCGGTGGAGGAGGAAAGGGTGAAGGTGCTCTTCTGCACACTGATCAGCTGGCCAGTAACCAAGCTATAATGCTCCAGAAGGTGCATAAGCTCGATCAGCCCATCATCATCCGCACGAGTGAAGATGATGATGTCATCCGCATAAGAAAGGTGCGAGATGGAGGACCATAGCCACGGGTGCTATATGTCATCTGAGGATAGTCGCGGATAAAGCCGTCGAGGCAGCGAGAGAGGTAGTCCGCCGCAAGAACAAAAAGGGACGGGGAAAGGGGGTCTCCCTGTCTAAGGCCTCTAGATGCGGGAAAAAAATCTGTGGGGCTGCCATTAACCAAGACCGAGAACGTGCAATGCTCCACACACGCCTCTACAAAGCCGATCCAACGCTCCGGGAATCCCATCCTAGCCAGTGCCTCCCTAAGAAACGGCCACTCCACTCTATCATACGCCTTAGCCATATCTAGCTTCAGCGCAATGTTCGGAGCCCGCTTCCAGTCTGCATGGGAGATATCGTGGATCATCTCCTGGGCCAAAAGTATGTTATCACTAATGACCCGATCCTTGACGAAGCCACTCTGGTTCGGAGAGATGAGGGAGGGGAGAATAGGGGAAAGACGGCCGTTAAGAATCTTCGAAATAAGCTTATTGGTCACGTTACACAGGCTGATGGGCCTGTAGTCGGACCAAGAGCTCGGATTGGGTCTTTTGGGAATCAAGACGACAGAGGTAGCCGTGAAGGAATCCGGCATCCGGTGACCGGTGAAGAAATCCAATACCGCCTCCTCAACATCAGGCTCGACTATATCCCAGCAGACCTGATAGAAGAGGGAAGAGAACCCATCGGGGCCAGAAACGCTGTTGGGATCAATCCCAAAAACAGCATCCCTAACCTCCTCCCTGCTCGGAAGCTCACAGAGGTCGACAAGGTCGACCGAAGGAGGGATGGTAGGGAAGAGAGAGACGGTCGGGGCAACGAGGGACCATCTGTCAGAGGTGAAGAGGGTCTGGAAGTGAGCAACAGCCGACTCCCGAATCTGAGACTCCTGGGTCAGGGATGACCCATCTGCCTCAATACTATGGATGTACGACTTAGCACGCTTCTGTCTAACGAAGCCCTGGAAGAACCTAGTGTTCCGCTCGCCCTCTGCCACCCAGCGAACGGCCGCCTTCTGCTTCCAGAAATCCTCCTCCATAAGGAGTCGGAGCTGGTACTCGGCGTGGCAGCGGTGCATCGCAGTCCTATTCTCCGGAGTGGGATCCAGGTCATAGGCCCGCTCAGCCTCCGCGTGCGCACTCTGAGCCGCAGAAAGGCACTGATGGAGGTTTCCAAAAACATCCCAGTTCCAATGTCTCAACCTACTCCGTAATCTGCCGAGCTTAGCTTCGAGATTGCGCATCCCAAAGAGCCCAGTCGGTTGGAGCCAGGAATCCCTGACAGTGTCATGGAAAGAGTGGTGGCGAACCCACATGTTCTGGAACCTAAAGGAAGCGCGGCAGGGAGTGCTCGAGAAGCGACACCTAATGAGGAGTGGTGAATGGTCAGACCCAAATCGAGTGAGATGCGTGACGGTCGTGATCGCAAACACTTTCGACCACGCTTCAGAGACCAAAGCACGATCGAGCCTCTCTCTGAGGTCGTCCCTAACCCACGTGAAGGGCTCACCCTCACATCCAGCATCTATCAACTCACAGTCCGCCACAGTCTGAGCAAAGTCCCACATCTCCCGGGACCGGTCCGTGCGGCCACCCACACGCTCATCGGGGTGCAGAAAGATGTTGAAATCACCACTAACCATCCATGGCAATCCCTCCATACTCTCAGCAATCTCACGCAGGGTGTCCCACAGATCGTGTCTCCCGACTCTATTACACTTGGCGTAAACCAAAGTGTGAAATATGGGCTCAGGGAGATGGACAGCAGAAAGCTCGACATGAAGCACCTGATCGGTGTCCCGGAGGACCCGAAAAGTGTAGTCACGAGAGTGGAAGAAGAAGATCTTATGAGAAATGTTACCCACGCCCGAATGAAAACCAAGACGACGTGAGAAATAGTCAAAGTCAGGGGTGCGAATTATCGGCTCAATAAAGCCGACAAAATCCAATCTATGATCACGAATGAGAGAGCGAAGGTGAGCGAGACTGGTCCTATTAGCCAGTCCCCGTCCATTTCAGGTAATGGACGTGATAGACATATTAGCAATCAGAAGAGCCACCGGACGGGGTCCGCCTGTGGCAAGGCTGAGTCAGACCACCTGAGGGAGGGGGTAGGTGGCGAGAGGATCGACGAAGAACCGGAGAGACGGTCCGCCTCGTCATGCGCGGTGTGGGTATGGTATTCAAGGGGGAACACCCTCGGAAAGCGCTCATGGCCTGCGAATCGTCAGGCTGAGTAGTCTGACCAAGACTGACACTAGGTGCCTGCCCCATGTCCGGGCATGCCTCCTGTCTGTCATGGTGCACGAAAGCACTGGAGGCAAAACTCTCGCACGAGGCGTCGTGCTGAGCGCGGTTAAGACCGCATGCCTGCTCAGAGAGGGTAGGGGAAGAGACTCCATCCGGCAGAGCACTCGGGTGCTCGCCGTATGAGTGTGGCTGGAGAGCTATAGGCTCAGTCGAAATCTCAATCTCCGCAGAGGGAAGGTGAGCCGGCAATTCCCCTTTCGAGGAAGCGGTGGCAGGAGCTGTCCTCATCTCCACAGAGCAATCCTGGCTATGTGGGAGGCCAGACAAAGGAACAGCATCACGAATGCTGTCATGAGATAAATGGGTGGCCGGCCTAGTGGGTGAAGTGGCCGGCTGCTCTAGATCATCTACTAGGAGGTCGTCGTCCTCTAAAAGGCCAAGATCCGAGAGACCGTGTGGGTCCCTAGAGGAAGGCTCAGTCTCATCATTTGACTTAGGGCAGAGGGGAGCAAAGAACGAGTGTTTGGCCTTGAAGGCCGACTGAAGTGTCTCTCTGGGAATAAAGCCCGTAGCCTTGGCCTTGGGCCCAACTATGATCAATCTGTCTGACTGGTCAGGATGCGCATCCTTCTCAGTTTGGACAATGGCGTCCATCTTCGCCTTGCCCTTATCTGTGGCCCCCTTAGGGGACCCGGGTGTCTGGAGAGGGCCTTTGCCCTTTCCCTCCGGTTCCCTCCGGCTGTTGGAGGGTCCCAGCTGGGCCGTACGACGGCGCTGAGGTGGAGCGGGTCGTGGCTCATTGCCACTGATATAGCAGTCGGCCGCTATATGACCGACATGACTGCAGGCGGAACAGAAAGCGGGGATCTTCTCGTAGATCACCCGCTGAGCAAAGGTCTCCGAACCCTGCTCAATCTCAATCTCGTGGATAGGCTCCACCCTAAGATCAATCTCGACACAGAACCGCGCCATATTAGCCCTGGACTGGAGAGCAGTCGGGGCATCAATGCGGACCGGTTTTCCAACACACTTAGCAAGTGTGGTGATGGAATCCCGGTCATACAGATGTGGTGGAAGGCCAGGGAGGCGGCACCACACGGGGACGACCGGTGTCTCCGTCTTCGGGTTGAACCTGGAAGTGTACTTGAATACCCTAGCTGGGCATCCACACACAGAGATAGAAGTCCTAAGCCATGCCTCATTATAATCTTCGGAGATATTAAAAGTGACTAGAAGATGATTGAAGTTATACCACTTAAATGAGAACCTACCCTCAAAACCCAATTTTTCTAATCCAGCAGCTAAGTCTCGGGGGAGAGGGATAGCATAGGTGAACTTAAAGACCACTGTGTTCGCTAACTTACCTGCGAGGGTGTCAGCTTCGGCGCTTGAGAATCGGACCTTCACTCTGTTCCCCTCCGAGCGGATGATGGTCCCGCAAGCGTGGTCATAATCTCCGTCAAAGAGGAACTCCTTGGGTGTCGGCCGCGGGGTAATCTTGCCGCCCGAAACGTCATCTCTCTTCCCCGTAATAGCCTCTCGGAAAGAGAGTGGGCCAGTGGAAGTGCCCGGCAGAGATCCGGGTGCAGTGGGGTTTGCCGTTGGGGGGCCCTTCGGCAGTGTCCCGTTCGGGGAGTGTCCGAATAAGTTGGCAACGGAGGTAGATATGCCGGCGGGTTGATCGGTCGGAGAAGGTGATTTTGGTCGGGGTCCAAGGATCCCTTTCGACAAAGCCATCAACGGGGCATCCTCGGCAATGATTCCGGCAGGTTGGGATTTTTCGGACGCTGTGTTGGCGCCATTGCCATTGTCGGCCGATTGTGCACTTCCTATAGCCGTGGCGGCGCTGGCACCGGTGGGGGGTAGTTGGACGCCGCCTGTCAGTGGGGTGTTGGCGGCTGTCTGTTTAGGCGGGATGACGGCCTCGGGTGGGTTTATGCTGGTGACGGGCTGTTGGGATTGAGATGGAACGGTGTTGTCAGATTGTGCGGAATTGGACTGTACGGAATTGGGCTGTGTGGTGTCGGCGCCGGCGTAGGTGCCGACGTGGAGCAGGTGGTCGGCGTCTGTCGGTTGGGAGGCGGAGTCAGAAATCTGCTGGCGAGTGGCGGTTTGAATGTGGACTGTAGGCTGGGAGGCTCCGGCTCCGGCGATTGGCCGGTGAACTTCGTCGGCCGGTTGAATGATGGTGACAGCTGGGATAGCGATGGAGGAGACGGATGTCTGCTGGGGATGTTTTGTTTGTGCGTTAACGGGCTTGGGAGAGGCTGTCCGTGAGAAAGGAAGAATTTTGGTGGGCTGGGAAGGTTTTGTATTGGGTTTCAGATGGCCCAAACATTGGATTGGTTCGAAAATAATTGTTGGGGTGACGGGTTGAGATTGGCTTGAAGAGTTAGATATGGGCTGAGATTGGGTATGGGGGGAAGGGTTCGGCCCAAATTGGTAGGAGGACAGGTTGGAGGCTGATTTGGGCCTAGTAAGTGGCAGCCCACCCTTAGCCCGTAAGAGACCCGTGAGAGGAGGGATGGCCCAAAGGGATGGATCCACTTGAGATGGCAGCTGAGGGTTCAGCATAACTGGGTCGCCGCCATCATCATTATCATTCAACCGCGTTTGAGCTTGGGGGGTGTTGCCCGTCGGATCCGACAGATTCTGACATACCTCCGATGGACAGGTATCGGATTTAACCGAGCAGAGCTTACCTTTAGCCTTCGAACCCTGGAACGACGGCGAGGGAGCGATGTTGCAGTTGGCCACTTGCTGCTCGGCGTTGACTCCGTCTACTATCGGGAGTAATGTCGACGGCGGCGCTTTCATGGTTAAAAGGTTGGCTTGCAAAAATTGCTGGAGGACCGTCTGAAATTTTGGATGGGAGATCAGAGACTCGAGCTCCAAAGAAGAGGAGGCGGTCGGAGGTTGGAGAGGGGATGGTGTAGATGCAGATGGCGAAAATTGATTTGGAGAGGCCATGTAACTGTACTAGGACAGGAGCTGATTTGGATTAGATGAGGTTCGGAGAAAAAGAAATAAAAAGGGCTGGCGGCCAGGGGGCCGGTGAGGCCGCCGCCGGCGGCTGCCGGTGGGTGTAGCTCGGCGGGGTTAGAGGTTGAGTAGGCTGGGAGGTGGTGGTAGTTGCTGTAGAAATGTGGAAAATTTTTAGAGAGAGAAAGCTAGAGAGAAGTGAGAGCATTTGTTGTTTTGTTGTCTGTCTTTTGTTGTTAGGTTAGTTGTGTTTTGTTGCTAGGTTAGTTGTCTGATGCTGCTAGGTTAGTTGTGTTTTGTTGCTAGGTTAGTTGTCTGATGCTGCTAAGTTAGTTGTGTTTTGTTGCTAGTTTAGTTGTTCTTTCTGCTGCTAGGTTAGTTGTGTTTTGTTGCTAGGTTAGTTGTCTGATGCTGCTAAGTTAGTTGTATTTTTTTTTATAAAAAAATTGTAATCCATAGGATTTGAACCTGGTACCTCATGGAAGCAAGACAAGCAATGCAACCACTACACCACTCAAGGTTGAGTGTCTTTTGTTGTTAGGTTATTTATTTCAATGCAACGGGTCAACGCCGGAAGTCAATGCCGGCGTCAACTAATAATTATTTTATTATTTAATTAATGTATATTTTAATTGATTTTGATCTAGACAAAATGAGTGGCTAAGATTGAGTCTCACGTACTCATTTTAAGGAGTGGTTTCATTGAATCCATCCCCTATATATATATATATCATTATTTTGAGGGTAAAACCAGGTGCGCACAACTAATTTACCCAATAAATATCGGCCCATCTAATTTTCGCAAATTCCTCATTTCGAATCCACCCATTTATTTTTTGTCTATTCTCCTTTTGAGAGCTTTATAGTTTTTTAGGGGTGTATTCAATTAAGACTTTTAGTGACTTTTTAAGACTTTCAAAGTTTTAGGGTATTCAATTAAAACTTTTTGAGACTCTCCAAAAGTTTACATATATTCAATTGAAACTTATTAAAACTTTTTATAAGTCTCCAAAAGTTTTAAGGTATTCAATCAAAACTTTCTAAGAATCTCAATAAGTTACCCATTATTCAAGTTGGTAAGATTTTATGGGACTTTACCAAAAAAAAAAAGGATCCTTGGAGACTTTTGTACCAAAATATAAAGACACCGATGCTTGTGAAAATCTCACCAAAATTGTAAGATTTTGTTGAACGTGCAGACTCTTCTTTCTCTTGTCTACAAGGTACTCTCGTACTTTTTCTATAGGGTTTATAGAATCCCTCACAGTAATTACCTTATACAATGGTTACTTGTATCCTTTGTGTGGTTCGACGATTGATTGTTTTCAGCATAAATATTATGGTTTTATATGGATTTTTGTCAAGTTCTTATTGCAAGTGTGTGCTGTCAGGCAATCTCTTTTGTAACAGAAATGTGTTGGTGTTTATAGTTTGATAATAATTGGGTGTAGTGCAATCAAATACCACCCACTATCGTAATATATTTTCCTATTCTAATTGTTAATATTACTCGTTATATATGACAAGTAGAGAGGGACAGTAAAGTGGGTGTTCATTAGCATCATCCTAAGTGCCTAATCAATGAAGATACTATTACTACCGTGGTTGTTATTATATGTTTGATGTTATTATATGTTTGAAGACCTTGTTATTATATTTTTTAAGACAATGATAATATATATGCCAGATTGCTTAGGACCTTTATTACATTACTTTTCTCCTTGTTTTGATATTATTGGGTTTGAGTTTATGGTGAATTTATTTTTCCGAATTGCTTATTTGAGAATAGAGGAGGGGTGAATTCTGCTAGCTTGCTAAGACCCTTGTAAAGTTTTATGTTTTTTGCAAGATTGATACACATATATATTTTTAATTATCTAGTCGGATTATTTTCATGTTGAAGTTCTAAATATCCTCATGTATACAGATGGCATGTGTATTTGAAAATTTATTTTCACATGACATGTCGAAGTATTATCTGGTCCAAGTGATCAAATTTTTGCAATTGTGCATTGTTCATGGAATTTATCACACAGATCAAGGACATTGTGAGATTTTAGTATTATGTTTGATATTCATGCATTATTATTTTAGTTCATATGTGTAACTCATGTGCATTAATATTTACGAGAAAATATTTTTAGAATTTTTTTTTACGTGTTTGTAAGTTCGGTATTGTAGCAATGGTAGATTCATCACAAAGAAATGAAAAAATTCAGGGATACGAAAAATGGACATCTGAAGAGAGTAATGAATTGCTTAGACTCGTAGTTGATGCAGCCAAACGCGGATGGCGCGATAAGTCTGGAAATTTGAGTAAAGTAATTGTAGAGAAACATATATTGCCCCCTCTTAATGCAAAGCTTGGAAATGAGAAGACGTATGCTCAATATAAAAATCGTGTAAAATGGTTTAAGAAGCAATACGATAAATATGTCAAGTTTATGCGACATAACTCGGGCTTTGGGTAGAATGACGTGACCAAGAAATTTACTGCTGACGAGCATGTGTGGGAAGACTACTTTAAGGTAAACATGTTTTATTGAGAGTGCTTGATAAGATTAAAATACTTCATACCATAGTGCTTAAATGACTTTTTTCTTTTACTAGTCTCATCCTGGGGATACGAATTACAAGACAGATGCTTTTCCTGAGTATGAAGATTTGAGAATTGTTGTTGGATGTGGAACTGCTATTGGCACAAACTCAGTTGCGATAGGCGACGATGTTGAAGAAACGATTTTTGAGACTGAAGAAAGAATGGAAAATATTAATTCCATAGACGACCTGATGTGTGATCCAGATTGTGAGGTGTTCGTTAACTCTAATAGCCCTTTTGACCATATGGCATTGTCTCCGATGCACTCTCCACCATTCGCTCAACATAAAAGTTCAGAAAAACGTCCATCCATTCGAAAGCGAAACAGAACCAGTTTTGAAGCAAACCCCAAAAGCACTGCATCTGAACCAGACAGCCTCATAGAAAGTGTTAACAAGGTTGTTCGTGCTCTTGAGTCTGTCAACACTAAAGAGTACACCTGTTGGGGAATTATAAAGGAGATTCCAAACTTAGATGACGATTCACGCTTCAAGGTCCTTGATCTGCTTAATACTAGAGCAAAGAAAGCAGAGTTTTGGAATATGGCACCGGATAAACGTTTGAAATGGATAGCATATAAATTAAAATGATCTATTCTTGTATCATAGGATATAATGTTGATAACCGACTTGGTTTTATGAGGTTAGAGCCGAAGAGTAATTGTTTTATTCGATTAAAAATTCTTCAGAAGTGGTTTTAACTTAGCTCAAGTCGGTACCAGTCAGATATGTTGTTCACCGACTTCTAGATGGAAAAACCGACTTCTAGACAAAACGAGGAAACCATCTAATAGAAGCCGACGACCGAGAAAGTCAAACATCCGACATCCGAGAAGATCGAATTTTTAAAGCAAAAAGAGTTGTACACATTTGATTGGACCATCAAAGCAAACAGCAATCATTGATGTTTCCTCATTCAGCTACACACCGTTTAATTGAAGCTGCTCAACATTAAATGCAATCTTATCTACCTCGGACAAAAAGACAAAAGCAACCGAACTATAAATAGTAGAATTTATGGTTGTACGAGGATCTTTTTCCTCTCTTTTTTTCACACATTGTACACGGACTTGAAATGATCTCGGTCAAGAACAAAAAACCGACTTCCTGTACTATTGTGAAATCATTAATAATATACACTTTTACGTTTATTTTCGCTTAAACACACATTGCTGTTTGTTATTTTTGAGTTGTTAATTTCATACAACAACAGTTTGGCGCTAGAAGGAGGGCCACCTCCGCTTTGTTGTATGTGTGTGTAATAAATATTTATAAACACACAAAATTCATCATGTCAAGTTCTGGGCGACAAGAACGAAGTCCAGAAGCTGGAACCAATCATCATCTTGCTCACACAACTGAAAATTCAACCGTGCCATCTATGACGATAGATAACTCTGTTCTATTTCAAGATCTAGAGTTTCTCAGAAATCTATCTAATTTCATGGCACAAACAAGAACAGGACCAACAATGACGATTCCTAGTCAAGCTCCTGCTTCAAATCCTCCAACTAGGCAGCAGACGTCGCCTGTTCAACAACATAATATTCCCGCTGCATCACATGCAACTTCTCATCCATAAATACCTGAGTCACAACGAAATACTGCCACTCTTAATCGTGGTGTAGTCCCTGTTCAAAATCGTATCCCAGAAGTAGCTCAACCAGAAGTTACTGCTGAAAGTCATTCTGGGCGTCGTCAACAACAACAGGCACCTTCATCGCCGGTAACTTCACAACATGACCAACAATCTGATTTACGTCACACGATTGAACGAAATCGGTTCCGACGTGAAAACAATGAATTACGTCATACTATTAAGAGGAACCGTTTAAGGCGTGAGTCAGAAGAGTTAGAAATGTTGAGGAAGAGAATTGCTGAGTTGGAGACTCGGCAAGACATTCCTGAAGAATCTCAACAAAGGGGTTCTATCCCGAAAAGTGTCTGTTTAGAAGCCGAGACTCCCTTGGCTCCTCATTTGACGATGGAACCACTTCCACCCAAAGTCAAAGTCCCTCAGATTGGCCTTTATGATGGTACCTCAGATCCTGACGCACATCTCGGTCAATATACCTCGTGGATGGATCTTCATGGGGCAACCGACGCGCTCAGATGTCGGATGTTTTCTTTAACTTTGGGACCTCGCGCTCAAAAATGGTACCACTCTTTACCCCGATATTCAATATCAAAATGGCAACAATTGAGAACAGCTTTTCGATCTCATTTCATCGGGGCTCGGGTATCTTTAATCCCGAAGGAATCTATTGCCAATATCGTCCAAAAGGACAATGAGAGCGTTAAAGATTATATTACTCGATTTAATGAACGAGTGCAAAACATGGAACAATGTCATCCTGAAACGTTGCTGGTCACGGCCATAGCCGGATTAAAGCCAAATTCTTTGTTCCGCTGGAGTATTTATCAGAATAAACCGACGTCATTCCAAGATTTTCTAGCTCGAGCTCAACAGCACATTATAGCTGAGGAATCGATGTCGGTTCCTACTTTCGACTTTTCTCTTAATAAGTCGGAAGTGGATCAAGAATCGAAAAAGAAGAAGAACAAGTTCTTCAAATCAAACCGATCTCGGTTTGGGAATTCTAAAAAACCTGAGGTGCGAGAAACCAAAGCCAAATATCTCAATGAGGTTAAATCCAGCTATCAGACAGTTTTCTCAGCTGGGGCCGCTGTTATATTTGAGGAATTGAAAGGAAAGGGAATTCTTCCCGACCCCCGACCTGTGAGGACTCTAGATGAAAAACTTGATAAAACGAAGTATTGTTCATATCACAAGTCGGCGGGACATGATACAGATGAATGTTTGGGCTTACTCTCTGCTTTACTACGGCTTATTGGACACCCACAAGTCTAAAGGTTCTCTAAGAATGCAGATTATAAGCGAAAGGGCAGAATGCCAGAACCCCAGGATGACGACGAAGACGATGATCGTCCAATTAATCCGAAACGCATTAGACAAGGTGAAAAAGAAGTATACATGTTGGACTCGAAGGAGAATGATTCCTCGTCTTCAGTTAAAACTGAAGAAATTCCACGAGGTGGTTATTCTAAACCTCCTGGTTTTCGTAATGCTCCCCGAGTTAATAACAGTAGCGGCAAAACTTTTGAGTCACGTCGGCAAATGAAAGCTTATGCTCGACAAGCTTATAACTCGGGAAAAACCGTCATAACAACCGACCTCCGAGATAGAATCAATGCTCGGAATAATTGTCCGATTACTTTTAATGTGGATGATGCCAGCTATTTTGCTCACCCACACTCTGATCCTCTCGTAATCACAGCACCAATTTGCGGAATACCAGTACATCGGATAATGGTTGATACCGGAGCTTATTCAAGCATTTTAATGCTCCGTACATTTGAACAAATGGGGATTGATCCAACCGAGTTGAAACCCTGTAAAGATCAAGTACAAGGTTTTAACGGAACAATTACACCAACTCTTGGAGAAATAACCATGCCAATCCGATTTGGGACTCCTGGGCAAGCTTCCAAAGTTATCATGGAGACGTTCAAGGTCATGGATCTTAAAAATGAATATAATGCCATTGTGGGAAGGACAACTCTGTATAAACTCCGTGCAGCTGTCTCGATCTTTCATTATGCTCTAAAATTTCCCACAAATAATGGAGAAGGAACCCATTACGGAGCCCAATACGAAGCTCGTGGGATGGTATGGGTTAAACCTTGGCATAAACCACATTCTCTGATACATATGACAGAAAATGTCCAGGACAAACGAGAAAAATTCTCAACTCCTGAGAACTCGGTATCTTTGACCACCGAGATGGGAATTGAATCACCCAAGAAGTCGGAAGGTTCAAATATCAAATTTTATGGTGGTTTAACTCAAGATCGTGGAAGACGTCCAGGAAAAGAACCAATTCGTGAAGAAGACGAACTTGATCCTCGCGCTCAATTTAAAGAGAAAAACAAACTTGATCGAGCTGAACCATCGGAAGAAATCGAAATAATTTTTATTGATGATCCTGTCCGCGATAAGTCACTTCGAATTGGGGCCAATTTTGAAGAACCAATACGAACTCAACTCATTCAGTTTCTTAAGGCAAATTCAGATGTGTTCGCCTGGAAACATGAAGATATGAAGGGAATTGACCCCAATGTAGCCTCACACTGACTTAATCTGGATCCAACTATCAAACCTGTAGTTCAGAAACGGCGTAAACTCGGTCCAGACCGACAAAAGGCTCTCGAAGAAGAAGTTCAAAAGTTTATCGACAACAAATTTTTTCAAGAAACAAAATATCCGACTTGGGTGTCAAATCCTGTTTTGGTGAAGAAAAGCTCTGGAGCATGGCGACTTTGTATCGATTTTTCTGACTTGAACAAAGCTTGTCCAAAAGACAGTTATCCATTACCACACATCGATTACATGGTAGACGCTACTGCTGGACATGAGTTGATGAGTTTCATGGATGCCTACTCGGGCTATAATCAAATTCCCATGGATCCCGAAGAAGCAGAACATACATCTTATTATTCCGCTCGAGGTCTGTAGTGTTACACAATGATGCCGTTTGGTCTTAAAAATGCCGGGGCCACATATCAGAGGCTGGTTAACAAAATGTTTGCCAAGCTCATTGGGTATACTATGGAAGTTTATGTCGACGACATGTTGGTCAAGTCGGTACGCGGTGTTGATCATGTTAATCATTTGCGAGAAATGTTCAACATCCTCAGGGAATATTCCATGGTGCTGAATCCAAAGAAATGCACTTTTGGAGTCGGTTCTGGTAAATTCTTGGGTTATATCCTTACTCAACGCGGTATTGAAGCTAATCCCTTGAAAATAAAAGCCATTATGAATTTAACACCTCCTACATCAGTCAAAGGTGTTCAAGCTCTTACCGGCCGACTTGCTGCTTTAAATCGGTTTATATCAAAGTCAACAGACCAATGCAGACCTTTCTTTGAGTCAATAAAGAAGGGAAAACACTTCGAATGGACCAAAGAGTGTCAACAAGCTCTGGAAATGATCAAAGAAATACTTCTTCAAACACCGACTTTACAGAAACCGGTACCTGAAGAAATGCTATACTTATACCTGGGAGTAAGTGACACTGCTGTTAGTGCTGTCCTTATTCGAGAAGAAGGACATCATCAATATCCAATCTACTATGTCAGCAAAGCACTACATGAAGCTGAGCTACGATATCCACCGATGGAGAAATTATCTTATGCTCTCATTACCGCAGCTCGGAAATTACGTCCTTACTTCTAAGAACATTCGATAACAGTGCTCACTTCGTACCCTTTAAAGTCAATTCTTCACCGACCTGGCACATCGGGAAGATTGATTAAATGGGCCATTGAACTCGGTCAGTATGATATCCATTACAAACCGAAAACAGCAATAAAAGCCCAGGCCCTATCCGACTTTATTGACGAGTTCACTCCTGCAATCGAGACAGTTAATGAAGATCAATCATGGACTTTGTACGTTGACGGTTCATTAACTCAACATCGAGCTGGTGGAGGAATCGTCCTAATGGATCCTCATAACAAGATGTTCTGCCATT